TTAGAGAGGTAAAAAGCTCAGTGCAAAGCACTGTCCTGGCACCTCTGCTGTTTCTCATCCTCATAGACATAAATAAAAATGCCCATCACACTTTTGTATCATTTGCAGATGACACTAAAATAAGCATGAAAGTCATTACAGTAGAGGACACTGAAAAATTACAGGAAGACATAAGCAGGGTTTTCCAGTGGGCAGTGGAGAACATGACGTTCAGTGGTGATAAGTTCCACCTGCTTAGATATGGTAACAATGGAAAACTCAAAAGGAACAGTATATACAAAACTCAAGAGGGTCACCAAACAGAACAAAAGGAACATGTAAAACACCTGGGAATAATTATGTCAGCTGACCTTTCTTTTAACCCTCTCAGGGTCGGTCCAGTACACCTACGATTTAACAACCAGTGTCAGCCCCGTAGTTATACGCCAAAATTCTGGGGGCCTTCAAATCTGGTGGAAGAAAGCTGGTGGGCCTACATATGAAAGAATGGGTCTGCATGGTCAGTATACACAAAAAAAAAAAAAATACTGAAGCACACAGTGCATGATAAAAATAAAAACTCAGACCGTGTTTTTGGTTTAAAACAGACTTTGCAGTGTATTTTCGTATGGTATTTTCGGTTGTATTCTCGTTTTTGTTGTCTCATTTGATAGAATGGAAGATACATTTCAGAAATAGAGATGATTTTGACTGGTTTCAAGATAAAAAATATCTTGAAATTGAGCTCAAAGTAGCAGAAATGTTCGATATTTGCAGATGTTCAAGAGTATACCAATCACTCCACGCATCCAATACACATCAACTGGCGAGTAATATTCTTTCACAAGTGCGCTGATATTATTTATACCATTTTTACAATAAGACAGTAGTCTGCATAACAGTAAATCTTCTATTTTTTTGTGAGAATAAAAACTCAAAATAGAAAGCAAGAGTAATATAAGAGGGGGCCTGAAGATGTGACTAATGAACAAAGAAAAATGTTATTTTAGTGCAGGAATGTCTGTCTTGTTTATTCTGGACCCTATTTTGAAACTGGTATCTTTTAAAATTTGGTTGAAATGGCCAAACTGCCAATTTCTGGTCGCTTTTTTGGGTAGTTGAAATCGGTAAATGGGCGGTTTCTTGTACTCAATAGAATATGTGGAGTACTAGAGAAATTGCTATGATTTTTGTCGACTTGAACAATAGAATTGGTCGAAAATAGGGCTCAAAGTGGGTGAAATCTGATGTGTAAATATCTCCAATACTGCTAGCTTCGCACAGCGTAATTTTGTAAGTTTTCAATCAAATTTCGTACTTTTGGTGTCATTACCATCAGGAAAGATTCTCTTATCATTTCATAAAATAATTTTTTTTATTTTTTTCACCCTGCAGTGAGTTAAGGATCTGGAGTCTCGACCCTCAAAGAGTTAAAGACCATAAGACAAAGATCACGACATCCGGGAAGATGATGGGATGGGTACTGAGAACTTTCAAAACAAGGGAAATAATGCCGATGGTGGCACTCTTCAAATCACTTGTGCTCCCTCATTTAGAATACTGCTCAGTGCTGACGCCATGTTCAAAGCAGGAGAAATATCAGAGCTGGAATAAATACAGAGATCGTTTATGGCTCTCACTGAGCCAGTAAAGCTCTAAATTACTGGGAATGTCTTCAAGTCTTGAACGTGTACTCACTGAAGTGGAGGAGACATATATGATAACATAGACCTGGAAAGTACTTGAGGGCCTGGTTCCAAATCTGTAAACTGCCAAAACAACATACTGGAATGAGAGATATGGGAGGAAGCGTAAAATAAACCCAGTGAGGAGTAGGGGTGCGGTGGGGACAATAAGGGAACACTATCAACATCCAGGGTCCCAGACTATTCAACATCTTACCAGAAGAAATCAGACACAGCTGGAACAATAGTAGAGGCCTTCAAGAGGAAACTGGGCAAGTATCTTCACCAGGTGCCAGATCAACAAGGCTGTGATGATATGGGGCAGCAGGCCTCCAGCAGTTACAGCCTAGTTAACTAGACAAGCACTAGACGAGCCTTGCCCATGGCCAAGCTCTGATAGTGAATCTCTCAAAACTTCAGAGGTATATCAAAGGTATGGGTTATTATCAAGGTTTTTTATATTTCCTCAACCACTTGTGGCCACATACACCTCAAAGCCACTAAACTTGGGGTCATCATTACTTTCCTCTTAAAAGGGGAGTGTTAATACGGCATGAAACCAGCAAATTCCTGGTATTTGCCGTGCTGTCTGCTCTAGCTGGCGCTTAATTGAACTGATGCTCCCACAAGGTGCTCCGGGGTCCCAGAGTTTTTTAATACTGTGCACACCGAGTGGCAAGACCCATTCTATGCTGACCAGGCATCTCAGGCAAATTGTGCCAAATTTGGAGGCAGGAAAAATAAAACTTTGATCTACGTTTGGAGCGCTAGCGGTAACAACATATATCTATGTTTGGACAGTTAAGGGGTTAAATCATGACTCAAGTGGGCAAAATCACCAATGAATTAATTGCACCCAGACCACTAACTTTGTGCCTGTGTAAATCCCTAAGTTTTCCCATTAAATTTCATACTTTTAGTGTAATTACCTTCAACAAAAAAATTCTCTACCATTTTTATTTTTTATTTAAGAAGTGGACAAAGTAATATTAACCCTTTTGCTGTTTCAGTCGCATATTTACGTCTTACGAGCCAGTGTTTTAGACATTAATACTCCAAAATTTTAGCGGCTTCAAATCAAGCGGGAGAAAGCTGGTAGGCCCACGTGTGAGAGAATGGGTGTGTGGCGAGTGTGCACAGTATAAAAAAAAGTCCTGCAGCACACAGTGCATTATAAAGAAAAAAAACTGACTTTTTGGATTAAAACGCCGATTTTGAGGTGCATTTTCGTATAGTATTTATGGTTGTATTCTCGCTTTCTTGGTCTCATGTGATAGAATGGAAGACATTTTACAGAAACAGAAATGATTTTGATTGGTTTCACGATGAAAAGGACCTTGAAATTGAGCTCAAAGTAGCGGAAATGTTCGATTTTTGCCGAGTTCAAGAGTAAACATATGATGTCACTGTCCAATACATGTCAAACTAGCCATTCCAATACGCAGTCACGAATGGGTTGACATTATTTGTACAATTATTACAATAATGCAATAGTGCGCATAACAGTAAATCTTCTATTTTTTTGCGAGTAAAAATTTGAAAGCAAGAGGGGCCTGGAGACATGACTAATGAACAGAGAAAATGTTATTTTAGTGCCAGAAATGTCTGCATTGTTTACTCTGAACCCAATTTTGAAATCGGCATCTTTTTTAAGCCTTTCAGGGTTTCCGACATACTAGTATAGCTTACCCACCAGGGTTATTGACGTACTAGTACGCCTAAATTCTAGCGCCTTCAAGTCTAGCAAGAGACAGCTGGTAGGCCTGCCTATGAAAGAATGGGTCTATGTGGTCAGTGTGCGCAGTATATAAAAAAAATCTTACGGCACACGGTGCGTAATGAGAAAAAAAAACTTTGATCGTGTTTTTGGATTAAAGCAGCAACTTTGCACTGCATTTTCGTATGGTATTTATGATTATTCTAGTTTTCCTGGTCTCATTTTATAGAACGGAAGACATATTACAGAAATTGAGATGATTTTGATTGGTTTCACAACGAAAAGTACCTTGAAATTGAGCTCAGAGTAGCAGAAATGTTCGATTTTTGCCAAAGTTCAAAAGTAAAAACACGTCACGTGTCCAATATAAGTCAACTGGCGAGTCTCACGCGTCCAATACAAGTCAACTGGCGAGTTTAATATTCTTTCACAAGTGCACTGATATTTATACCATTTCTACACTAATGCAGTAGTCTGCGTAACGGTAAATCTTCTATTTTTTGTGAGAATAAAAATTCAAGGTGGAAAGCAAAAGAAATGTGAGAGGGGCCTGGGGATGTGACTAATGAACAGAGGAAATGTTATTTTAGTGTCAGGAATGTCTGTCTTGTTTATTCTGGACCCTAATTGGAAACCGGCATCTTTTGAAATGTGTGTGAAACTGGCAAATTGCTAATTTCCGACCACTTTATTGGATAGTTGAAATCGGTAAATGGGTGGTTTCTTTTACTCATTCGATAGAAAAATAGAGCTCTAGCGAAATAGTCATGCTTTTTGTCGACTAGTACGCTTTAATTGGCTGAACATAGGTTCAAAGTGGGCGAAATCGCCGATGCATAAACATTGTTGAGACCGCTAACTTCGTGAGAGCATAATTCCGTAAGTTTTCCATCAAATTTCATACTTTTGGTGTCATTATGATCGGGAAAAAATTCTCTATCTTTTTCACAAAAATTTTTTTCCCAAAAAATTTTCGGCCGAGAACACATTTAGGAGAGACCCGTCTAGACCCTGAAAGGGTTAATCTGCGTGATATTGGCTAAACTGCCAATTTCTGACCACTACTGGGTAGTCGAAATCGGTAAATGGACGGTTTCCTGTACTCGATAGAACAAATGGAGTTCTTTAGAACTAGCTATGAGTTTGGTCGACTGGAACAATGGAATTGGTCGAAAATAGGGCTCAAAGTGGGCAAAATCAACAATGCGTATGTATCGCCGAGATTGCTAACTCCGCAAAAGCATAATTCTGTGAGTTTTCCTTCAAATTTCCTACTTTTGGTGTCATTATTATTGGGAAAAGATTCTATCATTTCATAAGAAAAAAAAAACTTTTTTTTAATATTTTGCAACACAGAAAGACACTTCAGGATTTTGGGTCGCGACAGTCAAAGGGTTAATTTCAGGGATCTGAACAGTGAAAGGATTTAAGGCCAAGTTCATTGAGATTTACATTTGCCAGACTTGTAAGTAAATTTATTAATTCCAAGAAACATAAATGTTTTAAAGCACATCACTTTGTCTATTGCTTTAAATAATTTATACATTCTGTGCTGTAATAATGTTTGTGTCAACTAGCACCAACTCCTCCAATTGAAAAAAACTTAAATTCCAACTTACCTTCGAATCAAGTACAACTTGGACTTTCTCCAGTGGTCCAAATTTGTCAAAAATGCTGTGTAGTTGTCTCTCCGATGTATACACACTTAAACCAAACACTCCGAGACACTTGGATGGCTCAGGGTTATCTCTGGTGCCAATGTGACGGCGACGATTAGACATGGGAGATCTTGACCATGGAGACCTGGCAAGTTGAGGAAACTTAACGGTTACGAGATGGATCAACTGTCCACAATGTGTCCAGCAGAGATGTTACATCAAACTGATAAACTGCAGCACAGGTGACAGTGGCAACTCAAATGCCTCGAGTCTACAAAACTTGCTAAGTGAGAAATTACTAACAATCATCGATGACATGCAATGTAATAAATTATATTAAAGCAAAGTTCATTGATAATGTGAATGCTTACAAATATTTAAGAAGTTAGTAATGAAGCTGATTTTTAATGAAGGACTAAATAAAAGTACAAAAAGTCAAGGTATTCAACCACCATTGGATCTGGAGTAAACAGTAGAAGTCCTCAATAATTCATACACTGTACCAATTGAGCTAGAGTCAACTTATATACAATAAAGTGGAACCTCAAGTTTTGGCCGTAATCTGTTCCAGAACTTAGCCAAAACTCAAATTTTTCAAAAGTCAAAGCCATATTTCCAATGAGAAATAATGTAAATCCAATTAATCCATTCCAGACACCCAAAAATAATCACAAATTCATTTTTTTTTTTTAAGGAATATAGTTTTACATAAATAAATATAAACATTACATACCTTTATTGAAGATTTGTTGGCTTATGGAAGACAGGGAGGAGGTGTGTGTGTGTGTGTGTGTTTGGAGACAGGACAAGACACTCCTTCAATATAATACTAATATCAACACACTGGCTTATTTATTTATCACAATTGATCTAATATGACATAAACAATATTAATAACATAGAAAGATGATATATACTCTAGAATGAATAAAATATGTCATTAGGTATGTCATGAGTGGTGGCGGTGTTGGGTTATCAGGGGCCACCGGCAGCATAAGCCGTATAGCGGTGGTGGCGTTGTCAGTGGCCCTACATACCTTCAATAACATTGCAGGAGTTAGTTTCGTGTCCTTTTTCTATTGCTTAACTTACTTGCTACACTGTTAGTGCTACGCTCTATCACTGGCTGGCGCTATAGCCTTCATCGACTCCTGCTGCTTTGGTATCGTACATATCGTAGAATCACAATCACTGAAGAAGGCACATTTGTCCCTCTCTCTTCCCCCTCTCACTTTCTTTACCAAAGGGTTGGCACTACGAAGTTTCTTTCGGCCCATGGTTAATTATGTAGCAGTCGCGCTCGATCAACAAGCACAAAAATCAGTGGATTATTGTGAAATGTTTGGACGAAAGTGCAGGATAATGTTCACTCGAGGAGAAACAATGCCAGACTGACTCAACGTATGCGTGGAATGCTTTGTGTGGGCACAGGCAGGTGGACAGGTCTGGTATGGCAGCTGAAACTCAAGGCACTGTTTAAAACTCAAGACAAAATTTAGCCGAAGACTAAAATTCAAAACGGCCGAAACTCGAGGTTCCACTGTATAGCTCACACTGCAAGAAACTGACTTTCCTGAGGAAAAAATCTTCGAAGTGGAAATAAATCAATTCCTGTCATTACACAAGTATTTCAATGAACAGACGTTGCTAATATGAAAATTATTTCATTAAATTTTTTTAAAACTTTCCATGTATGCATATAAAACTTTGCCATACCGAGTACGCCGTGAACGGCGACTTCCCTCATGTCCATTGCGAGGAGATCCACTGCGAGAACGGTGTCGTCGAGGGGTGCGTGAACGTGACCTGAAATTTGAAGCAATGACATTTACCCATACAGTCACATTTAAGACATTTTAACAGATCTTGAGAAAAAGCAATTATTTTCTATTGTGTTACTACACAGGTTGTAAATACTAGGACTGGACTAACAATTTCTCGTGAATCTCTTCACAAGTTACCTTAATCACACTCCAACAGCACATTAAATCCCTAAAATCACTAGTCTCCACCTCACAAAGATCTAATGCACTCACATACCTGCTTTATGTTGAATCCCCTCTCATAGTCACCTCCACACCCTCCCTCCAACCTTCCTGAAAACTCCTAACCATCTTTCCACCGAGGATTTATAAACCCTGTCATCCTATTCTGCTGCTTCCTCCCTAAATGCTTAAACCAACAACCACCCCTCTGCCTTCTGAATACATTTTGTAATCCCATGTTATCATTCTCATTTCTATGCTCTGAATTCATTTCATAACATGCACACCCTATGTTGCTCTACAGCATGTACTGAATGTAATAGCTTATAAATCATACACTTCTATTACATTTTAGCACACACTTCTACAGCTTCTATACTGCCCTGTATACTTCTATATAGTTCTTAAGATATACAATATTGTATGTTTCCATTCCAATTTAGGGCTAATTATCCCCCCCACCCATTACCGAACATATATAGTAAACCCTCAATATAACTGACTACTAGGGAGGACTGTCAGAGCGTCCATTAAAAAAAAAAAAATTACTAAATCCCTAATAGAGTACTGTACACAATTTAGTTATTACAATAAACACTGAAAAAAAAAACAGGGGAGTTAAAAGTATAATTACCATATGGATTTTACCCACTATTTTAAAATATATTTACTAAATACATTTGTTTACTGCAGAGATAATAAAAATAAAAATGCCAAGAGCACTCAGAATATCCAGTGTTATAATTTATGGCTGCTGCTGTTGGTATAACATTTCTGACCACAAATTAAGCATATAAACACCTTAGAATGCAACGATAATTACCAGTTTCAACTGTCACTGCAAGAAGAAATTCTGGATAGTTGCTTGTGCAGTATTTTTATTTTAGTTTTTAATTAGTGTGCTTCTTGCCTGTTTACATTTGTAATTGTTGAAATTTGAGCATGCTGAAAGACTGCCAAGCTGTCTTTGTGCATATCTTGCAGATCTGTTGTGTGTGTGTGTGGGGGGGGGGGGGGGTTTAAAGTACTACCTGAAGTGCAAAAAGAAAGTCTTTTACATGTTGTGCGCATAAAAGGAATGATCATTTGTCTCGTGCAAGATGGGTACATCATACCAACTACCATCTACACTCGGTCTGGTGTGTGTGTTTTATGCTGTAGATGTCTTCCAGGCAGTTGGAATTTACAAAAAGCTTAATATACCATAATCCCTTAGCCCTTTCAGGGTTTCAGCCGTACTAGTACGGCTTACGCGCCAGGGTTTTTGACGTACTACTACGCATAAATTCTAGCCCCTTCAAATCTCGCGGGAAAAGGCTGGTAGGCCTAGATGTGAGAGAATGGGTGTGTGTGGTGGGTGTGCGCAGCAGAAAAAAAAAATCTGGGACCCAGTGGCGCATTGTGGGAACGCCATTTTAGTACACCTTGTCCACCATGCCTCGCGGTAAGAAGCTCCTCACTCCTAGGCAAATTGGGACACTTTTGTTCCCCAGTGACAGTTCTAATACAGATGGAAGTGCCAGTGAAGACGAGTTTCAAGGTTTTGGCGAGGTTTTGACCGAAGCTAATGACCATAATATTGGTAATAGTGAGGAAAACCCAGACGACCCTCAGCCTTCCACCTCTGCTGCTGGGCCGTCTTGTTCACCCTCAGTTGTACCAGAATCAAAGAGGAAACTCCTATTTTCCCAAATCCCAGACTCAGATGTGAGCATTTGTGATGATAGTGATTATGAACTACAAGCTCTTCAAACTAGTTCCAGTAGTGATAGTGAAGTGCAATATTCCCCAGTGAAGCGTCAGTATATACGACGATATATGAGCTCTGGTAGTGTGCCATATGCTATTCCAAGGGAAAGGAGTACATCTCGGAGTACATCCCGTGGCTGTACAACAACTGACAGTGAAAATGACGATGATACTGTTGCAATTGGGATGGAAAATGTGCATGGTGGTGGTAGTGGTGGTGCCGGCGGTGAGGCACCAGCAGTGGCCCATGCTGCCACCCACGCCGCTGCCTCAGCTGATCTACAACAAAGGTCACCATCCCCCACCCACCCACCACACCAGCCTCCACAACCACAACCTCCACAACCACCTGTCATTGTCCAGTATTCACCAGCAGACTGCACCTGGGATTGGCAGGAAGCTGTCAATTTTGTTCCAAATCCCCACCAGTTTGATGACAGCCAAAGTGGAATATGGCCATGTTGTACACTGGGAAACAATGCCACTGAACTGGAATGTTTCCGGTTAATCTTTGACGAACCCCTGATGGAAAGTATTGTCATGGAAAGCAACACATACTATGAGTACACCATGGCAAACAATACTTTCACCAAAATCACGTCTACACCAGTGGAAGGAGACAACTGTGGCTGAGATGTATCTTTTCTTTGCCACAATAATGCTTATGCCACATGTGAATAAGCACAGTGTGAAATCATACTGGTCAACAGACCGCCTGATTGCAACCCCAGGTTTCAGTGATATAATGCCAGTGAATCGATTTGTGCTACTGTTACATATGCTTCACTTCTCAGACAAAACCAGGCCTGACAGAAATGGCAGGTTATATAAGATTAGGCATGTGTTTGTGTATCTGAAAGAGAAATTCAGTACGCATTTTTATCCCTTCAGGAAGCTTGTAAATGACGAGTCTTTGATTCTGTTCAAAGGAAGACTCACTCTCAAGCAGTACATACCACACAAGAGGAAACGCTTTGGTATGAAGTTGTTTGTGCTTTGTGATTGTTACAGTGGTCTGGTATTGGATATTATTGTGTACACTGGAAGTTATACATTGCAAAATACCAGGAAGTTATTGGGCATCTCTGGTGATGTGGTCAGAACAATGATGGAACCATATCTTGGTAAGGGGCATATATTATATACAGATAACTGGTACACAAGCCCCACACTCAGTGATTTTTTCCAAGTGAACATGACAGATGTATGGCACAGTGCGTGCAAATCGGAAACATATGCCCAGGTTTGATGCTGGCACTCGTAGAGGTGAAGTGCAGGCGTTTGCTGTCAATGACATCATGGCATTTCGGTGGCATGACAAACGAGATGTCACACTGTTGTCATCAGTTCACCCTAATGAAATGGCAGACACTGGCAGGCAGCATAGAGAAAGCAATGAACCCATTCTAAAACCTGCAGCTGTGATGGACTACACCCTCAATATGCGTTCAGTGGACAAATGTGACATGCAGATTGGGTTTGCAAGAGCTATAAGTGGTACACAAAACTCTTTTTCCATCTTCTGGACATTTCCATGCTGAATGCTTATAATATATGATGAGGACCAGAAACAAACCACCATACGGCAAGTTCTGTTTGTCTGTCATCATACAAATAGTATTCAAGTACCAAGGAACAGCACCTGCAATAGACTGCCCACCAAATTTTCAACAACTTCCTTCTCGTTTGAAGCATGGTGATCACTTCCTGGTAAAACTGCCTGCTACTGCTTTCAAGAAAAAGGCTCAGAGGAGGTGTTACGTCTGTGCACATACAAAAAAAACAGCAACAACGCAGAGACACTCGTTTTGTGTGAGGAGTGTAAAACACCACTGTGCAGAACACCATGTTTCAAAAACTTCCACAGGTTGCAGAACTTCTAGAAACATTCCCTGTGACTGTACACGTGTATATAAAATATAGAAAAATAGTAATAAACAACATTTCATATTGTTTGTTTGTGTAAATATTTTCTGTAAACAAAACAATGACAACAGTGTTTATGCCATTATTGTGTAGTATTGAAAAAGAAATAACTTACAAAATACTGATCATATTGGTCTCACAGGCCATAAAAGTTACTTGGAAAAAGAAAAATTAAAAAATAGAAAATAGTACATAAAATACTAAATAAAAGAATACTGGGTGATGGCAGCCGGCGATGTTACCACATGATGCGCATTTTCTGTCAACTTCATGCCTCCATATCTCGGCAAGTATTGATGGTAAAAAATTTTTGTTTAGCCTATAATGTTTAGAAAAAAAAATTATTTTTTTTTTTTTTTTTTTTTTTTTTTTGAAATTTGGCCGACCCTGAGAACAAGTCTCTGACAGGGCCTGTCGACCCTGAAAGGGTTAAATAGAGATAAAAACAATATCCAACGCACTTTGTGAACTATGCTGGTCACGTAGCAGCTGTAAATTGCAAATAGAATATTACAAAAAATACTAGAAATTCACTGCAGTTGCCGAAACAGCTTATAGTAGCAAACTCTATATACTGGAAGACATTTTTCACGGATGAAAAGCATTTCATGGCTTCTCTTAGGTTTTGAAGAACTGCATCACTACTTTTGTACTTTGGGGCCATTAAGCAAAATTAAGGGTTATTTTCACAACACTGCGATAACTCAGTACAAATGAAAGCTGCAAAAACACTAGATGTTAACCGAATGTGAGTACAGAGGACAAAGAGACGAGTCATGTACTGAACGCGACAGGGCGGGAAAGTTTAAAGAATGGCACACAATTTGAAACTTTTAAATCTTTTATTTCTGGAATTTTCCATTTAATATTTTCAGGGCAAAGTAAACTGCGGACAACTGAAACAGTGGAAACTGAATCTATGGATACAAAGGTTCTATTGTACTTATCTATACAATCCCGCTTTTTGATACGTGTCCTCAATTCTTCTTTCAACAAACTGGCCGTATCCTACCGAGGCAGGGTGTGCAAGAAAGGTATAAGATACCGACAAGATGAAAGATATAAAATACCGACATCTTGTCGGTATTTTATACCTTTCTTGTACAACTTGTCAGACACTGCATGTTGCAACCCCTGAATGGTTGC